TATAATATAATATGAAAAATTATTTTATAAGAGTATTTTTAGAAGCTTTTCTATGATAAAAGAGTTTTTAATAATTTTTTTATTTAATTTAATTTTTATTTATCATAATTATATATAATTGAATTTTAATATTTTAGAAATAAATTATCAACAAATAAATAATCTTGTGTCACTACATAAATTATTTACCATAAATCTAAAATATGATATCTATTTTTTAAACATCTATTTATGTAAATTAAATATAATTTATATATTTAAATATAATATTTATTTTTATATATAATTTATTATATATTTTAGTTATATATAATAAACATTTAACATGTGTATTTCATAAGTTAAAATACTAGTATACATGATATGTGAATTTAAAACTAGAGGAAAGAAGTTATTTTAGAAATTAAAATATTTTATTGTATAGATATAAGTTGTGGTGTTATAAGAACTGAAAGTTGAAATTTTTAGTGAGTAAGTTGCATCTAGATTGGAAAGTTATTTTTGAAGTTGTCTTCTCTAAGTTTTAAAATTAAAACAGTATGGTAGAAGGCGAACCATACATGTCATAAGTGCCTAACAAGTCAGGTTCAAAGTCGGAGGCTAAAATTCCTAATATGAGTATTAGAAATGTGCGTAGTAATTAGAGGATAGTAATAGACCATTTTTTGTTCTATGCATTAGTTTTTGTTCATTGGTCTTTTATTAGTACCATATTGTGATATATTAACTTTGATTTTTCTAGTAAATCATTTTGGTCTTAGTTTTAAATTTTAGTTAATTTTCACAATTTTTTTTCTTTTTTGACATTGTGTCTTGTGCAAGTTATATCTAAAGCTTTCAACATTAGATTTAGACATTCTTGGTGTCCCTGGAAAGATGAAAGAGATTTTTACAACTTCTATATAGGAGGCAAAGGCCAGCTCAGATGTTAAGTGACCAAAACAGCGATGCAAAGTTGTGGCCTTGCACAATATTTTTCTTTTCCTTTTAGATTGTAATGTTAGGATTTGTTTAGTGATGTAACTAGTTTATTTAGTGGGATGAGCCTTAATTACTTAGATTAGACCCATTAGTGTAGTCTATAAATAAGTGTAATACATGTATACTTGACATCATATACCTCATTTTTTAGAAATTGAGTTGTTTCTCTCGAAGTCTCTCAATTTTTTTTCCTTTCTCTCTCTTGAATTTTCTCTCTTACTTACACAAATTAGATTGCTACAACATGATTATGATGCGTGTGAATTGGATTGTTACAACAAGATTCAAGTTCCCAATCTTTTTACCGAACAAATTCTTTATTTCTTATCTTCTTTATTTTAGGTTTTTCTTTCATTTTTCATGACTGTGAATTTTGTTTTGGATCTAGAACGTTGAATATTAATTTTAGATCAACTTTAGATTTAGATTTAGACATAAAATAACCTAAATTGTGTAGTTCAACCATTACTCATTCTTGAATTTTATTAAAATTATGAGATCGCAATTATGATTCATGTTTTGACGGAATTCATAGATCTACATTTAGATCTTAGTTTGATTTAGTTTGACTCGGTTCGATAACATTTGCTTCAGCTTACAACTCAACTTGAGTTTGACATGAACCTTTTTGTTAACTCAAACTCAATTTGGTTCAAGTTTGTTAGCAATTTAGTTCATCTTGTTAACTCAAGTCACGTGAATTTAAAAGACTTAATTTTTTTAATCTTATATATTTCAAATTTTTAATTTAATAATAAATTTTAACTAAAATAATTATTTAATTTTAAAAGATAAAATATCATTTATTTTATTAGTTTTACAAAATTACAAGATAAAACTTAAAAAAAACATAATTACAACAAATATATATAAATTAAAACTACTGAATCTTATATAAAAAGGATAAAAAAACTTAATCCACAATTATGAAAATTTAAAAATATTTACTTATTATTATTATTATTATTAATTTATAACCATATTTTAAAAATTCTTTCAAATTTTAATACACTGAAATTAAATATACAATTATTGATATATTTATATATCGAACCAATTTATAAAATAAACCTCAAATGTATCGTTCAGCGGTAAGAGTTGATCTACGCTTAAGGAAGATCAAGGTTCGAACCCAAAATAAACTTATTTATTTATCGATGTTAATATTTAACTCAAATTCAATTTATTTAATTCATGAATAAAATTTAACAAATAAATTATTAAACCAAATTTTAAATTACTTTTGAGTGGATTAAGCTAATCATGGTTTAGTCTGAACACAGTCAAAAGAAGAACATTGAAAGATTCTTTGAAAAAGGAGTCGTTTCCATAAGCTCCACATCACGATCCTATCTAGGAACCGTGGAAGAAACGAAAAAACAATCTTAATCCTACGAACATCACGACAGATCCACCATTTTCAAACGGAGCATTTTCTCCATCAACAACCCATATAAAATTCAATCCTCCTCCAAACCCATTCCAATTTCTTACACCATGACGTAACGCGCACACAGAGGATACTAAAACCAGCGAACACGGCCTTGTCCTAACGCTAAACCCGCGCGCGTATAAGTAGCGCCAAGCTCGAAAGCGTTGAATCGAACCACTTGGCTTCGCAGAACTGAAAAGCAAAAAGTGTTCCCGAAAGATGGCTCAGGAAGTGGTGGAGGGGTTCAAGTTCGACCAGAGTCACGGGAAAGAGAGAGTGAGAGTCGCGCGCGTGTGGAAGACCAAGCAGGGTCGCCACTTCGTTGTGGAGTGGCGCGTGGGGATCACGCTCCTCTCTGATTGCGTCAACTCCTATCTACGCGATGACAACTCTGACATCGTTGCAACTGATACCATGAAAAACACTGTAACGATTATTTTTTCTTTTATGTTTACCGTTTGGTTTTTCAACCTTTACTTTAGTTCTGTAGCTGATTGCTGAGTGAACCCACTTTTATTTCAGAGCGATAGTGTGGTTGCTTTTGGATTTTATGCATTGGAAAATGAAAACGTGCGTTGTCATGGTTTGAAATGGATATCCAAACACACCCCTTGATCTGAAGTTTTATCTTTTAGTTAAAAAGTTCTCAAAAAAGTATTTAATTTGTATGGTGTTAGTCGCTTTCGTTTTGACAATTTGTTTTGTCCTATCAAGTGAGAACACAGACGGGTAAATTCAACATAGAAAGGAAATTAAAGTGTGTATAACTTTGATTCAATAGTATTAAGTGTATGAATTGCATTGTAGTTAATCAACGTACATTGCACCCTTGTTTTGTCACTTTTTATTTTACACTTTACGGGAGTGACTGAAATTCATTTTTTATTTTATTTTATTTTATTTTGTTTCTATTTTCGGGTTTTGGAGGGGAGAGGCTGAGCTGTGCAACTTGGACTTGTTTGAGTTCTGATTGTTCTGTCCATGATCATGATTCAATGTGTTTAACCGCTTGGGTTTTTCTAGCTGCAGAGAATCTGAATCTGTGTGCGTCTTTTTGTGCAAATGAAATCAGTTGTTTGATTTTTTGAAGTATAGGGTTTTTCTTCTTTGGAATTTGGACTGGCCAGTGATTTGATTTCTGGTCATTAAATTTTTAATACAGAGACCCTTTTGATCTGAATGTGCTCCTTGCTTGAGATCTCTTTTGAATGGGTTTACTCATATTAGTTGAATTTGAATCTGAGTGGTTTGTTGTGCTACTTGGGAATTGATTGACTTGTAGTGAAATATGTTTTATTGCGAATAATACTAACCTGGCCAGTGTACAATGAGTGCACCACTCAAGGGAAAATGTCTGTAACGAAAATGATGTTGTCCTGGTGCCAAAGACGTAGTAATAGGATTTAGTTTGAACTTTACAAGGTTAGATTATGTACGTAAAGGTAAATCCTATTTTCTTGTTCTGGTACATGTTTCTGCAAAGTTGAATTTATACAGAACAGGATATATATGTTTTGCCTGTTGTTGTGTTAATGTAACATGCCATTTACTGCTAGATCATTTTCATCTGCTTTTGTTCTCCATCAACAGTTCACTCGGTTTTGAATTTTTAACTAATGTGCCATTAGGTGTATGCAAAAGCAAAGGAATGCTCGGAAATACTTTCTGTTGAGGACTTTGCTATAGTACTTGCTAAGCACTTTGTATCATTTTACAAACAGGTTGGTGATTTATAATCTAATATCAGTATTCAGATTATTTGTACTTTTCCGCTCCTTATTTGTTTTGGTTTTTCCTTTATCTTTGACTGTGTTTTATCTTTGATCCTTTTTGGGCTAAACATTTTGCTTTGAACTGTCTTTTGTCTGAAATTATTGTCAGCCTTCTCGTATTTTCTTTTAATGCCGTTGCGTATTTGGTTCCCATTCATCTCAATTTGGAGAAATATTTGTTCTTTTTCCTAGCCTCCTGTGAGAGCTTTTGAAAAAAAAGGAATTATTTCCCATGAAAAAGCATTTCCAAACATGTGATACTTGTTTGAAAGAAGATTCTTACATGTTTTTTCTGTAGGTTACCGGTGCTATTGTGAATATTGTTGAAAAACCGTGGGAGCGTGTTGTTGTGGATGGCCAACCTCATGAACATGGTTAGTTAAACTATTATACACTGCAAATTTGCTTGTTTTAGAATGTGCTTGTATATATCGCACTCTTTGTAGAGGTTCTGTCTTTGTTTGCCTTCGTACTTGATTTGTGTTACAGTTGAAGATTCTTTATTTAATTTTAGTTATAAAAAATCTGAAATATTTTGGAGACAGTTTTAGTTACCCTTTGATTTGCTCAAACTTGCATTTTGCTTCTTGAATTATGCAGTTTATGTATTTATTTATTTATTTATTGGCACCATTGATTTCAGTTGATCAATTTTTTGGTTTTTCCCCTTTCATCCAAGCATTTTTAGTTAGATTATTTATTTATTTATTAAGATCTGGATTTAGTGGGACAGATCAGACCATATTGCAGATGCCATTATTCCCACTTCCGTCCTCTTTTTCTGCACTAATATTTATCTAACCCTTGTATATCCCTTTGAAAATAGATAGCTCCTCATAGTTTTCATTTACAAACTGCATTTTGTTTCTTTTCAGTCCTCAAGTCCTTGATTTTATTTGTGTAAGGTTTCAAACTTGGGTCTGAGAAGCATACAGCAGAGGCAGTAGTGCAAAAGTCTGGTGCACTACAGTTGACTTCTGGTATTGAAGGATTGTCAGTGTTGAAGACAACCAAGGTAAGCTTGCTATATTGAAACACGTGCTTTCGATTATCATGTAGTATTTCCAATTTCTGTAACTGTAATACAGAAGTTCTCGAAACAAGATGTGGTTGTCTGTTCAAGTGTGGCATGGTATATTGTTAAGCTGGAGATAAAAGCTTTAAAAATGTAATCATTTGGCCCCTTAAAAAAGCACAAAGTTTTCTAATTTCATTTTTCTTTTTTATGGCAACATGTGTGCTAATTTGCTCAAAAAATTTTCTGCACACACCACATAGTAGTTGCTATAAATTTTAACCAATTATAAAAAGTATCTTAAAAAGAGTGTGTTAGAGATGTGTTCCCAACACTCTTCTTCCACAAAACATGGGATTTTAATACAGAATTATGGATTCTGCCTTTTATATAATTTATTCCAGAATACATATAAAAGTAACACAAACAGGTCGAGTACTTTTAAAATGAAAACTTGTTTTTAAAACTCTAACTGAAAATACATAAATTGCAACCATATCATGGATTACAAAATATTGTAGGCTTTTAGTTAAATCAGTGTTACAGTACCAGATATATGATAATGAATTAATGATTCTACAAAAAATTTCAATTCTTGTGTTGAAGATGAGGATACTAAAAATGATTTTGGTATAATAAGAGAAAGACAATGTGGAAGTACACAGCATAATTTAATTCTTTTCCTGTGACTTGTGAACAGTCTGGTTTTGAGGGTTTCATAAGAGACAAGTACACAGCACTTCCCGATACACGTGAAAGGATGCTAGCAACAGAAGTAACTGCACTGTGGAGGTAATTTTTGTCCCCGCATAATTTAAAATGGACCTCATAATATTATGGTAGCCAGTTCTGTAGGCATAATAAGGATCAATTTCATTTCTTGAAAATTTGCATGTCATTCATTAATTGTAAACTGAAAGAGATCGTACAGCATCATCTAGTTAAGGAATAGAAGCCTGAGAAGTTTCCTCACTTATCATTACACTGGTATTCTTTTTAACCTGTATGTGGGTGTAGGTATTCGTATGAATCATTATATAGCCTCCCTCAGAAGCCGCTTTACTTTACAGACAAGTATCTGGAAGTGAAAAAAGTTCTGGCTGACACTTTTTTTGGCCCACCAAATGGAGGAGTCTATAGCCCATCTGTTCAAAACACGCTCTACCTGATGGCAAAGGCCACACTAAACAGGTTTTTCGCCGTCAAACTCACTACATGTATTGATGTCATGTATACACATCTATCTGCCTCTATTTTATCTGCATTTGACAGCCACTTTTGGTTTTCCCCTAAATACATGTGTTACAATCATAGAGGGAGTAACAATTAACTTTTATGCTTCAGATTTCCTGACATAGCTTTTGTCCATCTAAAGATGCCAAATCTTCATTTCATACCGGTCAATATCTCAAACAAGGATGGTCCTATTGTGAAGGTATTGATTCTTTTCCCTGAAAAGCTTACAGAAGTTGGTGGAATCCATTATAAAGTCTTAATTAATATTGTTACTATTTACATCTTCCTATAAGGAGAAAAGAGTGAGGAACCACAGTTGGAAATGAATTGTGATAGGGACACTATAATGATGAGCACTGAAACTTAGATTTTGTATTTTATTCATTGGCTTATGGCCTTGATTGCAGCTGCTGAAAGGCCAAGTTTCCTCTGACCTTTTACAAATGGTTTGTCATGATATAGGAAAGAACTACTTCAACATGTCCTGTATTTACTGTCTATTATTTTAAATAATTGAGATCCAGCCCTCACATGATATGGGATATTTTAGGGAAGAAGAGTGTTCTGTAGTGCCGCACATGGGCCAAGTAGACCCCAAAACGTGTGAATGATTGAGAAAGGAAATCTAGAGAACATGAATGAAAGTCAATTATTAACCCTCCTTATGTCGAATGATAAAACCCATTTTCTATTTTTTCCTTTCCTGCCCTAATATATATTTATTAGCTTCAACTTGTCTACATATCTGTCACCATTTGATTGGCCTTCGAGAATCTTCAATATTGAACACCATTCGGAACTTCTTAACTCCTCTTTAATCGGTCTTTATCATGCTATACCAATTTTAATTACTTAAACAACTTTTCACTCCAATGATGCAACTCTTGAAGAACTTAAAATAGATCTTACAAACTATCCCACATCTTTATATTTCTTTACAATTTTTCTCGGAAGTTATCTCAATTATTTTTAATGGTTAAGAATCAGTTCTTATTCTTACACGTAATATTTACTTCATCTTCCTTCAATGATGAAGTCGGTTAAAAACGGTTCTAAACTTTTTAAGAACCTACCTAAGAACTTGGGGATGCTCTTATGGAGAAAGTATAGGTTGTTCATACGACCATGGCATCAATCATCTAATGTGTTCTGAATTTTAGAGTTTACCTTGTCTTTAATATCTTAAAGCCCTGATCTTATGGTTTGCGGGGGAAGGACATAAGGGCTGGAGTAATAAGGTGGTGTGGGTTCTAACCCTCCCAATTAACACAATTAACATAGCATACTAATTACTAACATTTGTCTTTCAAAAAAGAAAAATAAATCTTAAAGCTCTTAAGTGATACTGAACTACTGATGCTTATGCAGTTTGATGATGATGTGTATTTACCAACGGACGAGCCACATGGGTCAATTAAAGCTAGCTTGAGCCGCCTTTGGTCGAACTCGAAGCTGTAGAAACTATGGTGCTCATCCCTTCTGGTGGATTGCCAGTGCAGCCTAAGCTACCAAACATGGCCTCAGAGATACTGGTTTTCATTAACGTGTCATGTAATTCTGGTTTTCTGTTTTCTTTATATTTTGTTTCGTGAACTAATATGCATGAATAACTTCCAGGAGGGATATTCTGCAGGTTGCACCAATGTTAAGTTTTTCTTTTTATGCCTAAAATTCCTAATAAATTTCTAGTATCCTTATGGAGACTGAAATGTGTTACTATTACGTTGGTGCGATGCTTTTTTATGGTCATATAAAGAACCAGTGTTGTCACCAAATTGTTATAAGAGTAAAGACGCGGTTTAATGGTTCGGTCGTAATTTAACTAGTGATATATGTATATATATATATATATATATATTTATTTATTTATTTATATATATATATATATATTAAACTATATCTTCTGCCCTATAAAATAAAGGAAATCATAAATAAAAGCCAAAAATAACATCAAATGAATTTGTTATGAACCCTTTTTGAACAAGGGAGAGCTCTTAAGAAACTAAGGGAGAAATAGAGAAACTAAGATTTTTGATTAATTCTTCTCCCATATACTAGAGCAATACAATGATTATATATAGGATACTTCTGTAAGCAAGATAATGCAAAACAGATTCCTACCAAATTTATTCTAGAACATATTTCTTATTTTTCTATTTTAATAAAAGAGGCTAACAATATATTTCATTTTAGGTCTCCCAATAAAAGTAGGACCCGAAACATTACTCCACTCATCCACAACAACCTTGTACTCAAGGTTGTGATCATGACAATCCTCTAAAAAAAAAAAGGAAAAAGAGAAATTCAGTAACTGCACCATGGTCTGCAATATCATCCTTTACATAGACAACTTTATCAAGTTGATCATTTCTTGTTGAAATATAGAGACCAGCACCACTACCTTTGCAAGCAATTTCTACACCAACTCTCTTGAACATACAACCCATACCTGTCATTGAACCATGCACACCAAGAAGACAAAGGGTTACCATTTGGAATTCGCTAATGTATAGGAAAATAATATAGCAATAGTCTTTTATGATAGCGGAAGCCATGAAACATTAATTCCAGACGTTCATATTCCAACGACCAAACCAATAAGTAGCTTTTTTGTATTTTTTTCATTGGACGTGATTTTGAGTTTCCAACGGGGACCCAAACACATGCTGAGTGTCTATCATGTTGTGTCGAGCACCATACTTTCTAATCCTTCGAATCAACAAGTTAATTTGTTAAATTTTTGGCACGAACTTCAAAGCATGGAAGTTACATTTGCATCATAACCTTTAAATATCACAAGGAAGTGGACCAAAGCCAAGTCGATGTCCATATTCTTGGAAGTTGATGTGCTACTTCCAAGGGAAGATATGGTCCAAGTCGATGTCCATATCCTTGGAAGTTGATGTGCTACTTCCAAGGGAAGATAAGTAAGAGATGAAAAACTTATCATAAGAAGGAATTTCTTGATATAAAAGTTTTTAAAGAGAAAGGTTCTCAGAGGAGAAAACTATGCTTTTGAAGAAAGAATTTTGACCAACTCAATTCTCATTTTTCTCAAAAGTGGCATGTACATAGGAAGAGGAAGATATATATAACTTGTGGTGTAAGTTAAACTAACCATGATTACATATAAACTAGATTAGGTTAACTTGTACTCAAGACTACGGACTCTAGTTACAATTTAAAATTTGATTTTTTTTCTCCTAAAAATGTCACTATCCTAGATTTAGAAGAGCCAATAGAAGTATGACACATAACAAAGTGCAAGAAGTATGACTCATGTCAACATACTAGATCTAGAAGAGCTAATGGGGCTTATTAGATGGCAAGGTACCAAAAGTGTAATTAGGTGTGACACATGTGACTTGTTGGAGTTTGAATGACTATGAGAGCATCACATCCACCAAGTGGGCATCCATCCACACGGACCACATGACCAATGATGCTCTCATGGGTCATTCAAGCTCAATAACATCTCATTTTCTAATTACACTCCCCTCTAAAATAATATTTACATCCCTAACATGAAAATTATAAACAAATAAATTCTTATATTATTCGACCCAAATATACAAGGTCAGAATTTAAAAAATATTTTACAAAGAATAGAAAGTAGACTACTAAAAGTGACCCAAAACTCATTAAGTGGGTGTCTTTTTCCTTCAAGCCTAATTTACCCCTCTTAGTTCGTTTTGGATTTGTCCACTTGCCATGATGTCATTAAAAGTGAACAACTCTATTTCTTAAAAGAAGAGGAAGCTTAACTTGATATAGTCAGCAAGTGTGGCCTCTTACATAAGATTTACACCTGTAATTTTGCTACCAATTGCTTCTAGATCTAGATATCACGTGTGAGGTTGATGGTATTTCTCAATAATGATTCATCCTTCAAGATATTCATGAAATACTCATCTTGGTATATGTCACCAAACTAGGTCAGATCCTTCTATACGATGCTGTAAAGAAATTTTGGAATAACTAGTGCTGCATCAAAAACAGATACCACAACAACAACGTTGCAAATAACAACTCAATAATTAAGTACACCATTTGCATTGACTAATATGTAACCATTATTTTTCATAGGCTTCCTCTATATGGTTTGAACTTTCCTTTCTACATAAGGTCTCCATGAAGATGGCTACCAAAATGGTTTCTCCCATAAATAGGATGACTCTTGCTTGAACTCCTTCTCTAGATTTGGCCAGTTCCCAATCTTAACGACATTAAAAATAACAAAATTGTACCTTGATAATTAGAAATAATGAAGAAAAATATGGTTTTGGTATAGGTAGAACAACGTTGCCAAGGCCAAGGAGCCATAATTCTTGCAACACAATGAAAGTATATTTGTAATGACATAATGAAGTTGGTAGCAAGTGACTTTTCATGAGAGAGGATATTAGGAGATGGTTGCGAAAATTGGGGAAAACATAGTTTCTCTTGAGAGGTTGTGAACTTTTAGGCTCCTCTTCCTTGTCTAAAATCAATAGAATATCTTTTGGCTTCTCTTTATCATCTCTAATTGGAAAAATATCTCGATATTCTAACTTGAAATATTAAAAAAAAAAAAGGTAGTGGTAAATGGTTCCTAACATGTCTACAGATTGTTGGAAATATGGCGACACAAGCAAGACTACTTGAAATCCTGAATAGGGTGTTAGTAAATCTCTCATGAAGTGTGTGATGACATTGACCTTAAGGACTTATTTGTATTATACATGCATGTACCTTAGGATACAACAAGGTTGTCTTAGTCAAGAGTTGAAGAGCAAAACTAACAAGAAATTTATGTAATCAAAGAACCTTGAGAGAGTAGAAAGCTTGAGCGAGAGAGAGGTGTTTAAAATAATGAGATGACCTCTATATATAGGCATGAGGAGCTCGAGAACCACCTAAAACTAAAACTGTGCAACGAAAAGGAAAACTCGAAAAATCTTATCAAAAAATGATTATTTCATAATAAAATATTTTATTTTGGAAGATATGGTCAACAGATAAACATGAATAAGCTAGATAAGATTTGATGGTCAAGTCAACCATAAAAAACGTAACTACAAAATGACCATAATTCGGATAAGCATCACTTTAAATAAAATAGTAAAGGTAATTTAAAATAAAAATAGATTCATAACATGTTCTAACAAACTTATTCTAAAACATTTTTTTTTTTAATTTTTCTATTTTAATAAAAAAGATTAATAATATTTCTTTTTAAGTTTCCCTAGAAGTAGGACCGTAACAAAATTGAAGAGTAAAGTGGAGCAGCAATATCACTATATATTGCATGATGGTTCAAGGTATTATATTGAATACTGAATGAAATATCTAATCTTGTAATATACCGAAAACTTGAAAGGACGGAGTCATCTCGTTTCTTGTTTAAAGTAAGACCTTGTGTTTGAGTTTGACTAGAAATACTTTTGGTTGAATTAAATATTATTTTTATAAAATTTAATTCAAATGAGTTTACTATTTTTTTTTTTTTTTTTGGTATAGGTTGTAGAGAAGGTTAAAATTTACGAACTCATGTATATTACTCTAATCTCTTCTCTTGTTGGACCAATCCCGTGGTTGAATGTTTTTAAATTACAACAAATTAAAAAGATTAATTTTAAATTTAAGAATAAAAAATAAATTTATTTTGAATTCGATAGATTAAAAAATATTTGAATCTTTAATAAAAGTGTCAACAAGGGAGATTAATTAGAGGGTTAATAATTAGGTGGAACAATGACAAAACAATAAATTAGAAGTTGAGAATATCATAAATAATTTGACAACGTATGAAATGGAAGTTTGAAAAGAAATTACTAGTGGTCTGTTGATGTATATGTAATTCAAGAATCAAGATTATGCATTTAAGATAGTAGAGACTAGAGAGTGGTCTAAACTATACACGGTGAAACAAAACAAAAGGCAAAAGAGAGAGAAGCCAAAAGTAAAATACAAAAGGTAAAAAATAAAAAATAAAAAAACTAACAATGCACCATAGAATGAGACGTGGTATAGATTATAGATTACGGATAATATTAAAACAAATAAGATATAAAAGACAATAAAAAAAGAAGAAGATAGAATTGACACGTAAATAATTGGTCGATTTAACAATATAATACTTGTGGATTTGGTGGGTGTCAAACTCTAGAACTTGTATTTCAAATTTGAAATATATAACCATATTATATAAATAAATATACTTTTAAGGAAAAGAAAAAGGAAGAAGAACGTACTCAGATTTGTACACATGACTTCAATCCACTCTATATACATATAGTTGATTGCTTGCGTAATATAATTAATTTTGTTTCACAAATCATAAAAATAAATACATAAAATTGTATACAATTATCAATATCTAAAACAGCTTTTCTTCAATTGTTTTTTTAATGAAATTATTTTTTCTTTTAAATTAAAACTTTCATTAAGTAAGTGTATATTACATTTATATTATAAATGAATTTTTTTTTCTGTTCATATAATTTATCTTTCTTTTCTCATCTCTTATTTTTCATTTTCACTCCAAAACTTTCATCTTCTCCCACTATAGTTGATAGGGGTAGAATTAGAAACAAACATTAGGGGGTAAAAATTTATCACATAATAAATAAATCTATCATAAATTTAACAATGACCAATAAACTAATTATTTAATAAATACAAAAAATATCATATACACCATGAAAGTAAATATAATTACTTTTGATGCTAAGAAAATACATTAAGAAAAAACTTACGAGATATCAAGAGTCAATAAATTAATTAAGGAGAAACTGGGTTCAAAATTTAAAATTTAAAAATTTAAATATTTAAATTATAATTTGTATTTTAGTTTGCGTATTATACGTTAATTTTTCTTGATAATCACGTTACTAGTATGAAATAATTTACTTTATTGATAATTAATCTTTGTTGAGAAACCTGAAATAGAGTCTCATTTTTCAATTATACTTTTTTTTTTAATACACAAAACTTGAACTTAAGAATTATATTTGTTAAATATACAAATAAAATTTATAATAATTTATACGTAAAAATAAATACTATATATTTCAACATATAAATTATATTAATATAAAATTTATGTAAATAAATATTTTTAAACATATGAATTATATTTATATTTATGAAAAATAATATATTCTGTGCAAAAGATCATTTCCTAAAACACTTGCTATATATACAAAGAAGTCCAAAAAAAAAAACGCTTTCTTTGTAAAGAAGTTACTAAAAATGTTCTCATATTTAAAGATAATTACTATATTTAATATA